CACTAGAGTTGGGCCACAGGAGGAAAGACAGAAGGAAAGAGAGAGAGTAGAGAGAAGGAAAGAAGGGAGGAAAGAGGGAAAGAAACAGGTGGAAAGAAGGAGGGAAAGAAAGAGAGAGAAGGGAAGAAGGAGGGAAACAGGAAAGGAGGAAAAAAGAGAAGAGAAAAAGGTGGGAAAGAAAGAAAGAGAGAGAGAAGGGAAGAAGGAGGGAAAGAGGAAAGGAGGAAAAAAGAGAAGAGAAAAAGGTGGGAAAGAAAGAAAGAGAGAGAGAGAGAGAAAGAAAAGGAGAGAAAGAAAAAAAAGGAGGGAAATATGGCAAAGAGATGGATGGAGGGAGGGAGGCTCTCCCACCACCACCCATCAAGCCCCTGCCACCCCCACGGATCCCTTACTTACTGCTTCGGTGGGGGTCGAGGAAGGCGGTGGCGGGGCTCTCCAGGCGTCCCCCAAGCCGCAGCGCTCCTGAGTGGGCCTGGGGGACATGGCAACGGGGCTCTCCCGGCATCCCCCAAGCTGCAGTGCTCCCGTGCGGGCCGGGACACGCGGCAACGGGACTCTCCCGGCATCCCCCGAGTCACAGCGCTCCTGCGCGGGCCCAACAAATGCTGCGACTGGGCTCTTCGGCCTCCCCCAAGCCACAGCACTCCTATGCGGGCCCGGGGGATGCAGGGGCGGGGCTCTCTGGCCTCTCTTGAGCCACAGCGCTCCCACACGGGCCCGGAACATGCTGCGATGAGGCTCTCCCAGCATCCTCTGTGCTGCAGCGCTCCTGTGTGGGCCTGGGAGACGCTGCGATTGGGCTCTCCGGCCTCCCCTGAGCCGCAGCGCTCCTGCGCAAGCCTGGGGGACGTGGCGGCAGGGCTCTCTGGCCTCTCCCGAGCCGCAGCGGTTCTGCGCGGGCCCGGGGGACACGGGGCCGGGGCTCTCTGGCCTCCCCTGAGCTGCAGCACTCCTACACGGGCCCAGGGATGTGGCGACGGGGCTCTCCCGGCCTCCCCAAGCCACAGCGCTCCTGTGCGGACCCAGGGGACATGGCGACGGGGCTCTCCCGGCCTCCCCCAAGCCACAGCGCTCCTGCACGGGCCTGGGGATGCGAGGGCGGGGCTCTTTGGCCTTCCTGAGCCACAATGCTCCTGCGCGGGCCCAGAACACGCTGCGGCAGGGCTCTCCGGCCTCCCCCGAGCCGAAACGCGGGGAGCTGGGGGCAGGGCTTGCCACTGCCGCCATTAGCACGGGCTCCTGGGCTGCCAGAGCAGTGCTCTGGCGCGCTCTGGCCCCAAAAGACCCCTGCTTCTATTGATACAGCCGAAAATTGCATTTGCCTTTTTAGCAACTGCATCACACTGCTGACTCATATTCAGTGTACTGTCTATTAAGACCCTAGATTATTTTGCACATACTACTGCCAAGACAAGTCTCCCCAACTATAATTATGTATTTGATCTTTCCTACCTAAATGCAGAACTTTATATTTATCCCCATTAAAATTCATTTTATTTGTTTTAGCCCAGTTTTCCAGCCTGTCAAGATAATCCTGTATCCTGACTCTGTCTTTTATCATATTTGCTACCCCTCCCAATTGAGTATCATCTGCAAATTTAATAAGCATTCCCTCTATCCCTTCATCCAAATCATTGATAAAGATGTTGAACAAAACAAGTCCCAGGACAGATCCTTGAGGCACTCCACTCGTCACTCCTCTCCAAGAAGATGAGGAACCATTCGCAAGCACTCTTTGGATATGATCATCTCCTCTCAAGCATGGAGGTAACCAACAGCATACTTTTCTTTGAGATGGGGTGAATGGTTGTGCAGGGTTATGTCTCCTCTGTCACCAGATCAGAGAGATCAGAGAAATACATTACAATATTCACTGCATTACATTACAAACACTATTCCAATCTACTATTTCAATCAATGTATCTAAGCAAGTGTATGTGCACACAAAAGCTCATACCCAGAATTAAACTTTGTTGGTCTTAAAGGTGCCACTGGACTCAAACTTCAGACCAACATGGCTGTCCACCTGTATGCCTGTGTGAGAGTATTATAGTGTGTTTCTAAACATTCTCACCCTGCTTGAAGTCAGTGGCCTTAGAAGGTTGTAACTCTGCTTAGGGCTGCACTTGCAGTCATTTACCACAGTAATTCGCCTCTGGTTTCATCACCTTCCATTTAAATAGGGATTGGCTTAGACTGGGATCAAGCCTGAACAACAACCTGGAATTTTCCTGAAAAAACAAGATAATGAATGACTACACAAACCAAAAGGGCGGGAGAGAAATGGAAGATGTGTCCAGAAACAGACCAATGTAATCTGGAAAATCCAGTGAATTTTCAACTCATTTATCTCTGAGGCATTAATTTTCAGTTCATTTATCTCTGAGGCATTGGTTCCCTCAACCAATGTAGTCCAAGCCTACGCAAAGTCTTTGAATGAAAATGATACTGACAACAGCACTGGGACACAGGACCTAGTATCACTCGGAGCAAACAGTGATCTTTTCATAGCTGCTGTGGATGGGTTATACCTTGCCCCCCAACAGATTCAGATTGAATTTGGGGATGATGCTGAGCGAAATCAGCAAACAGTTCTATTTTCTGAGCCAAATTCTCAGTCTCAGAAAGCCATAGAACTTATGGAGTTTTTAATGATGCCTCTAGGGAGCTCCATATGCTTTCCACAGTCCTTCCCCAACATCACCACATGTACCCCCAGGCCAGTCCCCAGTTACCTGGCTGCTGCTATTGCTGCTTCGGAAGGTGTGACTAGCCAGCCAGTGGGTGAAAGAAGAAGAGAGAAGAAGAAGAGATTGGATTTAGACCCTGCCCTTCACTACCCAAAGGTGTCTCAGAGCGGCTTACAAACTCCTTTCCCTTCCTGCTCCCCACAACAGACACCCTGTGAGGTAGGTGGAGCTGAGAGAGCTCTTGACAGAAACTGCTCTTTTTCAAGAACAGCTGTGCCAGAACTATGGCTTGTCCAAGGTCATCCAGCCAGGTGCAAGTGGAGGAGTGGGGAATCAAACCTGGTTCTCCCAGATGAGAGTCCGCGCACTGAACCACTACATGGAAGGCTGCCCCCACCTTTCTGGCACCATGAGAACCATTTTGGAATCATCCAATGTACTGCTATATGGAGAAGCAGAGGCCTTAAGGATGCCTGAATGTCAAACACTCTAGCAGATGACATTTCCCAGGATGCACTGGGCATTGCATCAGACCAGTGCTGGATTTATGTATAGGCTAAGTAGGCTGAAGTCTAGGGCCTCTAAATCTAGGGGGCCTCCACAGCCCCCCCCCCCAGCAGGCAGTCTCCCCTCTCCCAAAATTGCAAACCCAAGACTTCATGTGAAGTCAGGGCAACTCGGGCCCAGCAACTATGAGACTCAGGGCCAGCCAGTGGGGCCCAATTTGAAACTCTGGGGCCCAACTGGAAAAAAATTTGTGGGGCCCCAGTTCACAGCCAAAGTCTGCAGAATCTTATAGATATAAATAAAATCCATCTAGATTGCCCTGGTGCGGGGGGCCCCTTAGAAGCAGCCTGATTGTTCCAATTGCCTTAAGGCCAGCCCTGATGAGACTGTGCAGAGAAACCCTGCCCCTTCTAGGTCTCTGATGCCACTATTCAGAGTATAGACTCCAGATCCAGCAGCCCAGAGTCAACAACCAGCTGCACAGCCTTCCCCAGCTCAAGGGTCAGGTCAGTAGTGTACATTACATGCTGCACTTCAATCAGTGGGAGAGTGTGAGTGGGGGGTGTGGCTGGGGCAGATAGACCAGGCAAGCAAGCTCTCCCAAGTCCCTTCCATTCCTTCCCTCCTCCTTGGCTTGAACAGAGCAAGCACATGTGACTGGCACTGGCCTCACCCCTCCCAGGCAAGGAAGTCTATCTTTCACACTTCAAAGAGCCCTGTCGGTGCCTGCAGCATGCACTTGCAAACCCTTTCTCAGAACTTCTTGGATATGAAAAGAAATATTGATGGTGTCAATTGTCATGCCAATAAATCCAAACAATACTGCTTCATACATTAATGGTAGATTAAGAGTAGATGCTTCCAGAGGATGTAGTGATGGCCACAGGCATAGACAGCTTTAAAAGGGGATTAGAAAATTCATGGGAGATAGGTCTGTCAGTGGCTACTTGCCATGGTGACCAAAAGTGAACCTCCACTTTCAGAGGCAGTAGACCTCTGAATCACAGTGCCAGGAGGCAACATCAAGGGAAGGTCTCAGCCTCTATGCCCTGTTGTTGTTCCTCCATAGTAACGTTTTGGCCACGGTGTGAGACAGGATGCTGGACTAGATGGACCACTGATCTGATTCAGCAGGGCTCTTCTTACATTCTTACAAAGTCACAGCCTGCAGGCAAAAACCTTTGTTCACAGAAACAATCCAATAGATTCTAGCCCATGTTAGTTGCCCAGAGCAGGATGAAAATTCAATTAAATCAAGGTCAGAAATTGGGGAGGGGATAGGTGGACATTCTCCGGCTCACCTTCTCAGCAAAGACAGCACTTCACTCTAAAGTCTTTCCATTTTACTCATTTGGAGATTGGAAGTGCTCAACTTTGGGTCATTTTTGTCCTCTCAAAGAAAGTGTGGTAGACTGCCAGGTCTCCTGGTCTGATGTAAAGAGTCAGTTCTTTCTTTCTTTCTTTCTTTCTTTCTTTCTTTCTTTCTTTCTTTCTTTCTTTCTTTCTTTCTTTCTTTCTTTCTTTCTTTCTTTCTTTCTTTCTTTCTTTCGTGATGCTTTTAAAAGCATGATTTCCAAACAGTAAAGCAGCAGCTTGGGACATTTACATGTCTGACATCATTGCAAGGTAACTTCACAGGCACCTACAAAATCTGTTCAGCCCTGTCTCCTGGGACATGTGACAGAGCAAAAGCAACAGCTGAGTGTAAAGGCAGCCTGCAGGTAGGAAATTCTGCTGCACTCGCTTTTTCAATTAGAAACCACCTTGCTGTAACCATAAGAATATCCCACTGAATTCTACAGCATGGGCAGCGGAGTCAGCTCTGAGTCTAAAGAATCAGCCAAAAGGTCAAGGGAACTTGAAAAAAAGCTCCAGGAAGATGCTGTGAGAGATGCCAGGACAGTGAAATTGCTCTTACTAGGTAAGTATTTCAAATATGTGGGCTTTAAAAAAATGAAATGGCTACATTAATCTTGAGATTGATTTTGGGGGTTCAGCTAAAAACATTTGTAAATCTGTAAAGTAAATTTTATTTATTTATTTATTTATTTATTAGATTTGTATCCTGCCCTCCCCAGATGGGCTCAGGGCGGCTTTTTTTTTTAACTTTTGTACATGCCCCTTATTTTACTGTTGATATGAATGCCTGTTTGGATAATGATAAGAACAGTCATATTTTGGCATATAGAGCACAACAACTAAAAATATTAAAACAGTAAGTTAATAGCTAACAACTATGACTGCTTAATGGATTTCTCTGATTAATCAATCACCAGATGCTGCTGTTGGCTAAGTTTATAATATTTTCAAAGCTGTTGCTATGTGCTGCATCAAGCATTCAACAGAGGATTCTGGCGGGACCAGCGGAAAACAAATCCCATTTGTAAAACAATGAGTGCAGTGTGACAACCTTTGGTAAAAATATTTAGCCAAGAACTTGCTAGGTGCAAATGGTCAGGTCTCTTCCATGGATGCCACCTGGAAGCTCTCTCACACAAGCCAAATGGAAAGGAATGGGAGCAGTGCTTTTACGCCGTCCACTTGCATTTCAGTGGGGCTTGGGCAAGGGAATGATCTGTCATTAGCATGGAAGGTCCTAATGGGCCACTGCTCCAGTAGGCTGCTGGCGGAGACGAGCAAACAAAGTGGAGCCAAAGGAAGGGCTGGTGCCACTGCAGGGGCCACTTGTATGGGAGCTGGGCCATGGCCATGAAGGCAGCGGACGGAGCTTTGCAGGTGAGCCTACATCTATTGACCTCACTGTCACAGCCCAAGTCCCAGCTGAGTGGCCCATGTGGCACTGCTTGAGACACTCAGCTCAACTTGTTCCAGCCTTCATTTAATGTTCAGCTCATCCACAATTTGTTAGATACTGCTGTGATTCTTCTACTTGCTGAAAAAAATGCCATCCATCAGCTTTTACACAGTGCCAGTTTGGGGTTGGAATGAATATTTTATTTCAACCCTAGAACCAATCCAAAATTTCCTTTTTAAAGAGAATCCGGGCCTTGCCTTGCAGTAATCCAGCAGCTCTAGTGAGGGCTGAACTTGGGTTACCTTCTATTAGAGTCCATTTGCACCTGGCCTTATTTAGATTCTGAAGAAAGCAATGGTATCTCTCCGCTAGTCCTCTTCTGGGGGAGATCTTTGCACAGCTGCATTCAGATGCTATTTGCATAGCTGGCTTCAACAATATCCTCAGTAGTTACTCTTTGGTGGATGACTTTTGGGGTGACCCTTGCCCAGTCTCAATATACAAGACTGGATCTTTAACATCAATGCTTCACTGGACAGAAGTACAATTCTTTGTTCAAAATTTTCTCCTTGGTTCAAATCGTTCAAAAGGGACCAGAGCAGAGCATCTTATCTGACCCAAATCCCCTTCCTAGTCTTAGAATGGCTTTCACTTCTTTGAGGTTTCAAATTATGGCTTCAGCCATTCTAGATAACCTCTATACACAAATACCGATTGCTACCCATTTTTGTATTTGTGCAGCCTTAGTTCCCGCAGACCTTCCACACTACATTCTGTTCTGCCCTTTGTATACAGAGTCCAGAAACAAATTCATTGGAGAAATTTTAAAAGGCTTAGTTTTTTCCCCATGGCAGAAAAAGCTATCCTTTCTTCTTTCCACTATAATTCATATGTCTCTATAATATGAGTACCATCAGTAGCATGGTTCAATCTGGCAGCTAAGAAAATTCGGGCTCAAGCAGCGCTTTATGGTTGAGACTCCTTTACCAGTACACAAAGAAGATGCTAATCTGTTCTAACGAACTTTTACATGTTTTTAACATTATAGCTTTGTTGTTCTTTGTTCTCTCCTACAAGCAAACCATTTAGAACTGGAACTGACAGCCTGTGTTGTTGTCATGTACAAAACTTATGACAGGAATTGATTCCCAAGTTCCCTCCTTCTCAAGAAGGCAGGCATGGAATGTACCTGAATCCCTGTTTGGGGACACAAAAATTTGATTTAGCAGAAAACTGGGCTCATGTATATTGGGAGGGGATGTGAACACTTGACTCTTGGCTCAAGGGGAGTATGGGAGGCAGTATAGCAGTCAAGTCCATTACCATGGGATTTGCAGCATTTCAGAAATGAAACAAAAGTTTTTCTTCCATGACTCATAATATTGTAATTTATGGTAGAGGATGGATGCAAGGAGGGAGAAAAAGGAGGGTGTTAACAGTGTGCACAAAGAAATGAAGTCTGGGTCCTGGAACTGAGGGACATTTTCTCATAAAGACTGTGATAAAGCCTACAAGAGGGTATATCCTAATCCTTTGGCACATCCTGAA